GGCCCCCGTGCCCAGGTTCGCCCCTGTTCTCACGCTGCTGAGTCAGGCTCTGGGCTCATGGAGCCCCCTGCAGTCTAGGGCGTGTCTTCTGCACTATCTAATTTCTTTCTAGAGCCATCTGCGAGAGAGGCACGCAGAATATGTATTTTCTAAGAAATACTTTTTGTATTTTAAAAGACTGTCGCAGGACTACAAACGGTGTGGGAAATTGATAAAAAGAAAATTTCACCCACAAACTTATCAAATTGTTACAGCTATTAAAATTTTGGTCTACTCCCTTTAGGTTTTTTGTTTATTTTAAAGCAAATTTTACATACTATGATCAAAAGCCATATGTTACCCTAATCTTTTTTAACTTAACATTGTACCTTATAGGTTCTTATTTGCCATGTTATTAGCTGGTCTCCTATTTTTAATGACTGCACAGTACTCCTTACAGGGGCAAAGCTGCAAGTTTCTTTTAAGAACTGGTCTGACCATTCACCTTTGCACATCTGTTGTGACAAAGGGCACCCTCTTTTTGAGACGTCATCTTGCTTGTGGCCCCTTTAAGACCTGATTTCTAATTTGGGATGACCACCTGTCTCCTTTCCAGAGCCCTGCCATTCCCCCTAAGTGTGTTCCTCTCACTGTCTCTCTTTATGGCATTTGTATCATGGGGAGTTGCAAAGTGAATTTTCATGGTTTGAAACTTCAGTGGACTGTAAGATCTATAGCAAAAGGGCACTATTAGTTTATAGAACAAAATCAAATTTGATAATATCATTTATCCTAAAAGCATTTGTACAAGTATTAGGTGACTTGAAGAAAGTGTGGAAAGGGCAGACCCTTTCAAACAATATCAAGGGTGTAAAATAATGCATTATGAAATGCAGAGCAGCACAGTCATCATGGTGAACTGGGAATTGATTCCAAGTCTTTCAAGAACATGAATGTTTTCAGTAGGGTCTTGAAGGGCACAGCAATAATAATAACAACCAACAGTTGAATACTTCTTATATATGAGGCATGACACTGAGGATTTTACATGTATTATATAATTTAGTTTAAATCTCACAATAACTTGACAGTATAGGTTTTATGATCTCCGTTTTACAGACAATAACTCTGAGGTCTAGGGAGATTAAGCAACTTTCTTAAGATCACACAGCTAATACTTGAGGAAGCTGGGTGGATTCTGACGCCTATGGTATACCAGGTTCACATTCATTCATTCATTTATTTAATAAGCATTTGTTCATGTTAGGCACTGTGTATAAACAGAGTGATTCCTGGCTTTTGGGGAGGTCAGAGTCTGGAGGTGAAGCCACATAAATAAAAAAAAAATTCCGATACAGTGGTATGAGGGGTGAGAGCTGGGGTGTGATGAGAAGAACTCAGCTGGGCACCTAACCCAGGCTTCCTGGAGGAGCTGAAATGAGAGTGAGTTCCAAAACACCTGTAGAGGTTTCCCAGGGAGATGTGGAGAGACTGCTGGTCCAGGGGGATGCAGGTGTATCCATGCCTGGTATGTGTGTGCCATCCTGGAGTGTATAGATCTGAGTAAATTCCAAAAACCGCAGACCACTCATTATTAGGGCTGAAGCACAGGACATGGCGGAGGGTCATACTGAAGGAGTTTTAAACCGTGGAATTTGTGATTAGATTATATAAAGATCCATGGATGTGTCCTTAAGGATGCATTCCCATAATATGGACACAAAATGGAGCAATGTGGAGCAAGAGTAGAAGTGAGAACACAACCTTGGAGATTTTCGTAGTGGTCCAGGTGAGAGATGGGTAGTAGCAATGGGAATGGTGAGCAGGGGGCAAGTGAATGCATCAGGGAAGTATTGAAGAGATTCAATTGAGAAACATGTAAATGATTGGATGGGTTGTGGCAGGTGTGGTGAGGGAGAGGAAAAAGTTAAAGAGGCCCCCATTTTTGGCTTGTGAAGCTAATGGTACTGATGGCATAGGGTAGATGGTGATGCTGTTCCTTGCAACAGGGTTTGACTTTGTGCACTTCTAATTAAGGGTGAATTGGTATCCTATGTAATTTTCTGTGAAGACTTGTACAGTAGTGGCGCATTGATGAATAGTCATATTGAAGATGGACTGGGATGGCCCAGAGCACACTGCTGAAGCAGAGGAGTGTGCCAAAGAGAAGGACAAGGGCTAATCTTCCCAAAGGTAGTATTATTTTTTTACAATTAAAAAAATTAGGCTTTAGAGTCAGACAAATCTGGATCTGAGTCCAGACCCTGAATATGGGTCTTTGGGTAAGTTACTAAAGTTTTCTGAGTCTCAGTATCCTCATTTACAAAATGGGAATACTTATAATGCCTAATTTATTGGATTATTGTGAGAATTAAATGAGTTCAAGTATATAAAACATATAGTACAATGTCTGATAGTACACACAAGATGCTCTGTTCATGACCAGGGTTGGGCCCATCACTACCACTATCATCATCATCCTGGTAAAGTTACCAGAGCCCAGAGACTTGCTACCAGCCCTTTGGGCTCAGAAACTTGATCCAGCAGCACACACAGACCCTTCCTTTGGGAGCAACCTGTGAGTAAGGAAACTCAAATGCTAAACTGTCTATTTCAATAAGTTTTATCGTTGGTATGCGGACCAGGATTCTCAAATCCACAAGACTAGGTCATTCTCTCCCTGTAGTCAGAACTATGTGGGGAGCCAAATTATCATCAGGCAGTTGTGAGCAAAGAGTTGGAGCAAATTCACTGAACAAACATCTAATAATTGCCTGCCCTAGGTTAGGCTATATGCGCAATATGGAGTTTTCCATCATGAATAAGACAGGCCAGCCCAGGGTAAGGTTTGATGGTAATCAGGCAAAGGCAAAGTGATGCATTCATTTTCACAATAGAGATGAGTTGGTGGTTCTGTGCTACCCCAATTGTGCTGCTCCTGACCCCTTCCACTTGGAATGGACCCTTGGTGAGTACTGCTCAAGTCTGTTTGAGCAACCCTTCTTCCATGACTCCATGACTGATTAATATAACCTTTAGATGTGTGTTTTATACCTTTAGTGGAGTCACAGCCAACTCTTGCTGGCCTAGAAGCATTTTTGCCCCTTTGTGGTGATTTCTCATTCCTCTGCCCTAGTCCAATAGGTGCTGGTTTCACAGTTAAACTTCTAAAAGACATTTTTTTTCCCTTTCTTTCCGAGTTCTTGGCAAGATTCTTTCTCACAGTCACATCACTGGCCTGAAGTCAGATGTGGAAAAGAATGTTTAATGCATAAACACATTTTTAAGCTCTTTAAGTGTAGATTTGTTGGAACAAACTCAGAAATTTTTTCAGGTATTAACAGTCTGGCCAAGCAACCAGATGTTATTTGAAGAAAATATGGATGAGTTGTCTCTTCACATTTATGAGTAAGTTGAGAAGTAAGTTTTAGAATTGGATCTACTTCTTAAGATTTTCGTTTTTTATCCAGATAGTTATGGAAAATCCCATTGATAGTTACTGTGGAATGACTAGGATTTTCCAGGCTCTCTTTTCCCTGAGATGATGGAAAAGATTAAACAACTTTACAGGCTTCAGATAAGACAAGCCTGAGCAGCGAATGGGAAATTTTAGTAATTGATACCATTTTTATTTTCTAATTCCAACTGTCTTTTCCGACTCCTTGACTAAATTCACAAGTATTTATTTGAAAGACTGAAGGAAAATCAAGAAGATTATTTTCATATTTCAGGCAACATTTTGAACTTTATGGGGGAAGCAACGTTGATACACAATGAACCCTCTCAGGCCACCAGTAACTTTAGGCTTCCCCTTACAAAATGGTGGCTTGGGTGTTGGAATCAATGAAGCTCTTAATGCAGAGTAAGCAGAGAGGCAGTAAAACAATATGCACAGTCTGGTATCTTGGAATATTATTTCATCACCAATCCTACATGTTCTATTAAGGATTTGTATTTGTAAAACATGAAAAATATGTCACAAATGGAGCAGCAGGTGGATTCTTATTCAAATTCTGATTAATTCATGTCTGCTTCTCTTGATTCTCCCACAGCATATTATTTCTTGGAGAAGAGAATAACATTAACCTTCTCTTTCTTTAAACAGAGAATCAGCCTCCTGTAGTGGAGAGAGTAGGGGGATTCATGTTAGACCATGATGGAGTGACAACCATGGCCTCTAATCCTGCCTTCACCCCAATAAGGTCCTCAACATTTCAGAACCTCTGTGTTTTTCATCTTTTAATTTAATTTGAAT